GATATAGACTATACTATACTAGACTATACTAGACTATATACTGGACTATAGACTAGACTATACTATACTAGACTATATACTATACTATAAACTAGTCTATAAACTATACTAAAGACTAGACTACGTACTAACTACTATGTGGACTGCTTATCAAAAGTTTGTTGGTAAGAAAAAGTACCGAATAAGTTGTGGGTATTACTGCGGTATTTTTCGAAATGAAATGCCAGCTTTGTTGGCACTCAAAAAATATTTCTCAGTGTTGAAAAAGATATTAAACCTTCTAACACTACTGATGGTGGTGGAGAGTATCATTAAATCAAACATAAGTATATAAGTAAATGACAATCTAAAAGCAGGGACTTCCCGTTGCTCAATAGTACATAAAAACAGAAAAGTACTTTAAATTTTCTATAAGACTGTTCACATGATATTCTTTTATATTTTAGTAATCTAAATTTTGTATTAATTTAACTTCAATTATCGAATTTTTATTTAGAACTATAGAAATTTAACTAAGAACTCATGTTTACCGAAATTCGTATATCTGGGAATCTAATGTAACAGCTGGAACTTTAAAATTTTACATGGGAAACTGTTATATCCATTTGAACATAGACGAACTATTAATAGCGGACGCGGCAGCAATATACAGATGATTAAACATTGTTAGATCGTCTAAGAATCTAATTAGAACATGGAGCATATATAAAACATTATATTTTTATTGTAATTTAGGATTTTTTTAGGGTTACAAAAAGGAATAAATAGGTAATGAGGGCTGAGAATAATCTTAAATAAAAAATATAAACAATCTTTAATTGCTGAAAGTATTTAGCACCCATGTGTATTAGTCTGATAATTAACTTGAGTTGGCTTTAAAATGTTCTCCTTTTCTATATCCTTATACAAAGTATAAATAAGCCAAATTATTAAAGCAGAAAGACCTATAAAGATAGAAACATACATAAAATTATATAAATATATTTCTTCCCCATAGTTATCTTACCAAGACCCAATAAACTAGAAAAAAATATCGATATAACTGTACCAGCACCAACTCCATGGGTCATGGAAACAATTAACTCATAGGACAAACGTAATGAATTTATAACGAAGCCAATGGCACCCAGTAACAACCAAGGAATCATCATTTTGTGACGTCTCTGTAAATAATTAAATTAATAAAAAGTTTAATAAGTTCTATTAATTATTTTTTTATATTTACGTACCTTCATAATACCCATTATAAGTAGACCAGATATGGCAAACATTGCCCAACAAAATAATATTAATAGAGCATATATTACATTAAAATAGGTCACGTCTTAATAAAAAGAAAGAAATAGTTGATAAAACTTTTTTACTTTACACAATTGACAAAAATCAATTGGATCAAGTATTAGAACGTCTGAGAAAAATTATAAACTAATAGGTTCAAACTTGCCTGGTTTATCATTCGAATTAATTACCACCATAGTATAGATTAAATAAATGGCAGCAGCAAAATAGGCCACAACATTTAGGCCGCCAATGATCATACCAAGTTAGAACGACTGCAGCACTTCATATTTTGATGATTATATAAAATGTTATTTCTTTTTAAACAAAACTATACCGTTATGCCGAGACACCGAACCTCAACTAAGTAATCATGTAAATGTAATTTTCTTAAGACTTGTCAAAACATCAATACATATATATTAATTTATATTTATCAACAATAAAAAATACCATTTAAATCATTTACTTTGCTGAGTCAAATGCGGTAATGAATCAAAAATTAAAACAATTAGGATAGTATAGTCGGGCTAGGCCAACCATATGATACCACCCATATGATAATTTTTTCGAACTAAAATAGACTATAGATTGGACTATAGACTAGACGACTGAATAGACTAGACTATAGACTAGACTATAGACTAGACTATAGACTAGACTATAGACTAGACTATAGACTAGACTATAGACTAGACTATAGACTAGACTATAGACTAGACTATAGACTAGACTATAGACTAGACTATAGACTAGACTATAGACTAGACTATAGACTAGACTATAGACTAGACTATAGACTAGACTATAGACTAGACTATAGACTAGACTATAGACTAGACTATAGACTAGACTATAGACTAGACTATAGACTAGACTATAGACTAGACTATAGACTAGACTATAGACTAGACTATAGACTAGACTATAGACTAGACTATAGACTAGACTATAGACTAGACTATAGACTAGACTATAGACTAGACTATAGACTAGACTATAGACTAGACTATAGACTAGACTATAGACTAGACTATAGACTAGACTATAGACTAGACTATAGACTAGACTATAGACTAGACTATAGACTAGACTATAGACTAGACTATAGACTAGACTATAGACTAGACTATAGACTAGACTATAGACTAGACTATAGACTAGACTATAGACTAGACTATAGACTAGACTATAGACTAGACTATAGACTAGACTATAGACTAGACTATAGACTAGACTATAGACTAGACTATAGACTAGACTATAGACTAGACTATAGACTAGACTATAGACTAGACTATAGACTAGACTATAGACTAGACTACTATAGACTAGACTATAGACTAGACTATAGACTAGACTATAGACTAGACTATAGACTAGACTATAGACTAGACTATAGACTAGACTATAGACTAGACTATAGACTAGACTATAGACAAGACTATAGACTAGACTATAGACTAGACTATAGACTAGACTATAGACTAGACTATAGACTAGACTATAGACTAGACTATAGACTAGACTATAGACTAGACTATAGACTAGACTATAGACTAGACTATAGACTAGACTATAGACTAGACTATAGACTAGACTATAGACTAGACTATAGACTAGACTATAGACTAGACTATAGACTAGACTATAGACTAGACTATAGACTAGACTATAGACTAGACTATAGACTAGACTATAGACTAGACTATAGACTAGACTATAGACTAGACTATAGACTAGACTATAGACTAGACTATAGACTAGACTATAGACTAGACTATAGGCTAGACTATAGACTGGACTATATAGCGGCCTATATGTATTTTCCAGAATTAATGTATTATACTTCCTCCCTTCAACATAATCTACCATAGTGGATGAAGGTTGTGATTGGGGTGGGTAGAGTATTTAATTTTTAAGCCAATTGTGATATATCTCACTTTACAGCAGTATTTCTGGGAACGAAAACGGAAAATTTCAACTCTTTAGCTACCACGCACAAACAATGTCAGATCGTCTAAGAATCGAATAAGAGCTCGGAGTATAAATATTTATTTTTCGACGGTGGGTATAGAAAACTTGAATTTTTTTATTATAATTCAGTATTATTTGAGTATACAGTAAGAAATAAGTTGGGGACAAGTGCGGAAAATAATCTTTAATAAAAAATATAAACAATTTCTTTACCCAAATAACAGTCGCAATGTTCATATTCAATACAAATATAAGTTCTAGATAAGTTGTATCTTTAATTGCTGAAGGTATTTAGTACCCATGTGCAGCAGTCTGATAATTAACTTGTATGGGCTTTAAAACATTCTTTTTCTATAGCCTTATACAAAGTATAAATAAGCCAAATTATCAAAGCAGATAATCCTAAAAAGATAGAAATTTATTAAAATCATATAAATTAGATTTACATATATTTCGATCCCCGTATCTTACCAAGCCCTAATAAACCAGAAAAAAATATCGATACAACTGTACCAGCACCAACTCCCTGGGCCATGGAAACAATTACTTGATATGTAAAACGTAATGAATTTATAACGAAGCCAATGGCACTAAGTAACAACCAAGGAGTCATCAATTTATGACGTCTCTGACAATAATTAAATTGATAAAATGTAGTTAATAAGTTCAATTAATTATTTTGCTGTATTTACATACCTTTATAATACCCATTACAAGTAGACCAGATATGGTAAACATTGCCAAACAAAATAATATTAATAGAGCAAATATTACATTAAAATATGTCGCATCTTAATAAAAAGAAGTAATTGATAAAATGTATTTATTTGAAATGTTTTTATTATGAAGTTGATCAAATTATTACTTCATCTGAAAAGAAATTTAAAATAATAGGTTTCTACTTGCCTGATTTAGTTTGCTCATATTCTTTAATAGCGAATTTGTTTCCACCATAGAATAGATTAAATAATTTATACCAGCAAATAACCCACAACATTTATTCCACCCAACGATGACACCAAGTGTAGAAAGACTGCAGAACTTCATATTTTGATGATTATATAAAATGTCCTTTTCTAAACGAAATTCTTTAACGAATAAACCGATTAGAAAAAATTAATAAACCGTTATACTGAGACGTTAACGTAAACTCACCAGTAATGAAACTTTCTTATATTTATTAAAATATGAATATTAATTTATATTTAAAAATAGTAAAACTAAAACTATTTACTTACTTTCTGAGTCAAATGCGGTAAAGAAATAAAATTGAAATAGCTACAAATAGTAATTTACATTACGGTGAGCAGAAAAAATTTTAGCAGTTACTTACCTAAGCAAACCATAGATAGATAGATAAGAAGATAGATAGATAGATAGATAGATAGATGAGATAGATAGAAGATAGATAGATAGATAGCTAGATAGATAGCTAGATAGATAGATAGTTAGATAGATAGGATCGATAGATAGATAGATAGGATAGATAGATAGATAGATAGATAGATAGATAGATAGATAGATAGATAGATAGAATAGATAGATAGATAGATAGATATAGATAGATAGATAGATAGATAGATAGATAGATAGAAGTAGATAGATAGTAGATAGATAGATAGATAGATAGCTAGATAGATAGATAGATAGATAGATAGATAGATAGATAGATAGATAGTAGATAGATAGATAGATACCACAGATAGATAGATAGATAGATAGATAGATAGATAGATAGATAGATAGATAGATAGATAATAGATAGATAGATAGATAGAATAGATAGATAGATAGATAGATAGATAGATAGATAGAAGATAGATATATAGATAGATAGATAGATAGATAGATAGATAGATAGATAGATAGATAGACATGGAATCGACATGGATCGACGGCAGTCATGTACAAAAATTCCAACCTGTGTGTTCTATGCAAGTCACATTGGGCCGATGGTGAGCATCTCTAGCTCACTCTGTTGTTGAAAAAGAGCTATTGAACTTATATTTACAATAACCGCACAAACGTCTCATAACCTCACCAATATAATGGTGTTTTGAATCCCTGACACATATGAAAATATCCGTTAGTTCGTCAGAAATTAAATATATTTACATGGTAAAAACCGATATAAATATAGTGTTTTTAACCCAAACAACTATTGAACTAAATAGCAATATTATACATGGTTACCATCGTCTGGTACTTTAAAGTTGTGTACCGCAAGTCAGACGAGATTTATATGAACTAGACTCGAGATTTGTGATTATAATAATATTTTGCTTGAAACTTTGTTAAAGATGTTTAAATTGAAAAAAACGTTTATCGACTTATTTATTTAGTAATTATTGTTTAGAACTATTATTAAATCGAATGTATCGATCAGGAAAATCAGTTGTCTTAGCACACATAACCAGTTTGATATTGACTTCGATGTGTTTTTCAAGATTCTCCCTTTCAATATTCTATATAAGGTATAAATGAACCATAATACCAAAGCCGAAATACCTAAGGACGATTTAATAAATAGAAATTTTTAATTATGTACATTACTCTATGTACTTACCAATACTTAATAAAGTACCAATCAAAAAACCTACTGCCTGATGAGCCGATATCATATTAAAATCATAATATATAGAATAAACACCGTTGATAATAAATCCAATACCAGTAAATATCAGCCAGGGAAGCATAAGAGTTTTCTGTTTCTATTGACAAAATAAAATAAAGTTCTTTAAAACTTTTCTTAATTATTTAAATGGGTTAATATACATACCTTTTGAATACCCCATATAAGTAGACCACTTATAACGATCATTATTATAGAACCCAGTCTTAAACCAAAAGATGAACCATAAAATGAGCCTAGAAGAAAAGAAATTAAAGAAAACAAAGGAGATATTTTTCCTTTAAGAAAAGTAGACACTTTTTCTAAAGAAAACGCAAATTTTCTATAGAAAAAGTAGAACGTTTTTCTTTAGCAAATAGAAGATCCATTTTTTTTAACTAAATGCATTTTTTGTATAAAAAATTAAGACTGAAAAGAAAACACTTTAGTAGAAACAGAAAAAAGGTAGACACTTTTCGTACGGAAAGGAAGACACTTTATCAATAGAATAGAAGAACACTCCTTTTCTATAGAAAGAATGCACTTTTTCTATAAAAACACTTTTTACATTAAAAAATAGTGATTAGTTTTTTATATAAAAAGTGTGGGTGGACCTATAAAGAACTACTATTCGACATGTGAAAAACCAAAAGAAAAAAATTATTTACCGCACTTATTGTAAACCATAGAACATAAAAGAATTCCAATATAGACAATAATATGTAGAAAGCCTATGATGATGCCAATTGTCGAACGATTACACTCCATTATTATATGATTTTGTAAAGAAATATGTTAAATAAAATACGACAAGTCAGATAAATTTCTGATTTAAGTTATTAAGCAATTGAACGACAACTGATCAGCCAAATATATTTATATTTCTTATATTAATCATCAGAATGGAAAATAAATAGTGGTATGAAGTTTTTATGACCACTAAGGAAATATATTTTATTTTTATATCGTTCATTGTTACAATATCACATTATCATTTCACGATAAATAGACTATAGACTAGACTATAGACTAGACTATAGACTAGACTATAGACTAGACTATAGACTAGACTATAGACTAGAGTATAGACTAGACTATAGACTAGAGTATAGACTAGACTATAGACTAGACTATAGACGAGACTATAGACTAGACTATAGACGAGACTATAGACTAGACCATAGACTAGACTATAGACTAGACTATAGACTAGACTATAGACTAGACTATAGACTAGACTATAGACTAGACTATAGACTAGACTATAGACTATAGACTAGACTATAGACTAGACTATAGACTAGACTATAGACTAGACTATAGACTAGACTATAGACTAGACTATAGACTAGACTATAGACTAGACTATAGACTAGACTATAGACTAGACTATAGACTAGACTATAGACTAGACTATAGACTAGACTATAGACTAGACTATAGACTAGACTATAGACTAGACTATAGACTAGACTATAGACTAGACTATAGACTAGACTATAGACTAGACTATAGACTAGACTATAGACTAGACTATAGACTAGACTATAGACTAGACTATAGACTAGACTATAGACTAGACTATAGACTAGACTATAGACTAGACTATAGACTAGACTATAGACTAGACTATAGACTAGACTATAGACTAGACTATAGACTAGACTATAGACTAGACTATAGACTAGACTATAGACTAGACTATAGACTAGACTATAGACTAGACTATAGACTAGACTATAGACTAGACTATAGACTAGACTATAGACCAGACCAGACCAGACCAGACCAGACCAGACCAGACCAGACCAGACTAGACCAGACCAGACTAGACTAGACTAGACTAGACTAGACTAGACTAGACTAGACTAGACTATAGATTAGACTAGACTAGACTATATATTAGACTAGACTATATATTAGATTAGACTAGACTAGACTAGACCAGACTAGACTATAGATTAGACTAGACCAGACTATAGACTAGACTAGACTAGACTAGACTAGACTAGACTATAGACCATAGACTATAGACTATAGACTATAGACCATAGACTATAGACTATGGACTATAGACTATAGACTATAGACTATAGACTATAGACTATAGACTATGGACTATAGACTATAGACTATAGACTATAGACTATAGACTATAGACTATAGACTAGACTAGACTAGACAAGAGAAGACTAGACTAGGCTATAGATTAGACTAGACTAGACTATAGACTATACTATAGACTATACTATAGACTAGACCTATGGTCATTAACTTTTTTATGGTTGAATAAAGGGAGTAATTGCTCAGGCTTACAGCTTGCCAACAGTTCGGAATTTCAACACTCTGAGGCAAAGTTGTAGCTCGTTTTATAAAGAATACAAATTGTGAACATATAAAATCAGAAAAACGTTATTCTCATTTTTTCATTTCAAGTAAAATGTTTTGCATTGTGAAATTGCACTGCTTTTATTAACGACACCTGTACGTATACGTGTTAATGATTTATTAATATATTACATATACTAAGTATACGCTTCGATGATAAACTTTGACTTAGAGAGTAAAAAGAAAAAAATAAATTTATAGTAGTAGTATAGGAAAATCTTCAATCCTGACATTAATTGCGTTATTTTAAAACGTAAAATTTGACTTGAGACGTTAGTGTTCGTTTGAGTTGAAATTTTTTAAATATTGATAAATAAAATTAATTTTTATTACTTACTTGTCTATATTTAGAAAAAATTTGGAAAATATAACATAGAAATCCAAATTTATCGAATCTTCAAGTTGTACTTATTTTGTATGAAATCATCGACATAAAAATTTCATAAAAATATATTTTTAGTTAAAGAAATAAATATCTGTTATTTGATGGATTCTAAACAGAATCTCTAAAAGCTCTTAGAAGTGTCTAACAAGAATATAAAAAGATAAATTAACCGATTTTACACAATTAACTCTATTGTGCATTCTTTAGCTATTCGTTGTCCTTTACAAGTGTTTTCAATATTTTGAATGCGTATATCACGATACAAATTGTAGATGCGCCCCAATGTTAGACCAAAAAGTCCTGCAAATATAAATTATAATAAATCGAAAATTTACGTATGTATGTATATGATTCATAAAATCTTACCTATGACCAATAAAGCCAACATGTACATTAGTGCACATGTAGATAATGTAATACTATGTAAGAAATATAAACACATGACAGTGAGTATAAGTCCATATAGTATCAACCAGGGTTGTATCAATTTGTAACGTTTCTTTATTAAAAGAAAGTGTGAATAATTAATAAACCTTACAACTTTATGTTATTTGAAAAAAAAAAGATTCTTACCTTTACAATGCCCACTATTAAAAAACTAGAATTACAGACCAATAATATATATATTATGGAAAATATGAATCCTAAAAATTTTATTTCTTTAGGAAATAAGGAAAAATAAAGTTGTGTTTAATTTTAACTCACTGGCCGCAAACGCATCATCTAGATACCAATAAAATATAAGACCAACTGTGTCGAATAGTATATAAATGCAACCAATATAAATTCCAAATGTGGAACGACTACAGCACTTCATTATCTTATAGACATTTAGTGAGTTTTGCTATGTTTTTAGTTCTTTTTTTTTTCGAAACTTTAAACTAGTCGACTGCTTTCATCAAGTATTCGAAAGTATAGAAATATGAATAAGACCTTGATTGTAGACTAATCATTTAACCAATAAAACTTTTATTAGGATCATACCTTTCCATTACTCATTAATAAAAATAGTTTGCGGTTAATAATTTCCTTAAATACCGTTATAAAATAATATCTAACGTGTATAGTTTTATAACTACAATTATCATCACACCGATATATTCTATAAGGATAGGTTTGGAATCAGCCACCGTAGTTTAGAAAATAACTTGCTTGGGGTAACATATGGTCCTGCAATACGTATACAGTATTAATATGATCGATGCGATCTTTAGGCGAATTGACCAAAGTCGGTTATAGGAAACGTCTTCAATGTATACTGGAACATCGTACCTGGACGATGGCATACCAAAGGTAGAATTTTTCGTGAGGAGAATATAATGATCAAGTGGAACATTACAGCAAATAACTGTAGGAATCTGTTCTGTACACGGACGGCTCCAAACTAGTAGATAATACATTAAAAACTTCGAAATCGAGGCCCATCTAATCACAGCAGGAGATGTGTAAACTGGTTTATCATATGGAGATGTGTAAACTGGTTTAACATATTTACCGCCAAAAGACAATTAGGGCGATATCAGGTGATAAGGTTAAATCTAAGACTATATTAGACTCTGTAAGAGAGCCTTAACCTTAACCGAACACTCGGAAATAATCGCCTTAACGAACTCTCGGAAATAGTCTAAGAGCGAATCTATTTGTTATAAAGGTAAGAGGACTGAATTAAAAACATGAAGGAATGAGTCCCATAATGCCACTTGATATAATAAAATGGTGGGTAGAACATTAAAGATCCTATGGGGTGAACCTTACGAGAGGAGTATGATAAGTCTCCTCAAAATAAGCAAGTCCGAGGTTAGTATGATAATACGAATTCTAAGTGAACATGCATGATTACGATCACAACTATTTAACAATGAACGAACAGATTCAGACGAATGTGGAGCTTAGAAATAGGACAGTAAAACTCTCGGTTTCTAAATACAGAACGCTAATTCTTAATAAATCGCTATATAAGATATTTACACCAATTTGTCAATAAAAAGGGGCGCGAAATAGAGCCAATAGTGGACTAGGTGTATTTTTCCTGTATTATACATTCTTCGTTCAACACAACCTACCACCTGTCAGGAGGAATGTGGAGTGTCAAGTCTTTCAGTTTTTAGTCAGTTATGAGCGTTATAGTCAATTTCTGAAGGGAAAAGTTGGGCCCAATACTTCCACACTTTACAATAGTATTTCTGGAAACGTAAACAGAAAATTACAAACCTTTAGTTCCTAACGTAGAGATCTTATTATAACATCAACAGACATATGGACAAACATGTCTACATCGTCTAAGATATAGATATCCATCATCGTCGATGATGGATATAGAAAACATGAATTTTTTATTGTAATTTAGACAAAAATCATAAACAATTTAGTTAAACAATTAATGTTAATTACGCAGTATTCTGATTACCTTCAGTTGACTTTAAAATATTCTCCTTTTCTATTGCCTTATACAAGTATAAATAAACCAAATTATTAAAGCATTAAACCCTACAAAGATAGATAAATTAGATTTACATATACATATATAATTTTACATATGTATTTACATATACATATATAATTTTCCTCTTATCTTACCAAGTCCCAATAAACCAAAACAAACTGTCGATACAACTTCATCAGCGTCAAATCCTCTAGTCATGAATAATACAGTTGAAATGCAAAACGTATACAATTTATAACGAAGCCAATGGCACTTAGTAACAACCAAGGTATCATCATATTATGACGTCTCTGTAAATAATTATATTTATAAAATGTTTAATAGATACAATTAATAATTTTGTTATATTTACATACCTTTATAATACCCATTATAAGTTGACCAGATATGGCAAACATTGCCAAATAGAAACAGATTAAAAGAGCACATATTGAATTAAACATGACAACATCTTTATAAAAATAATTAAATTATAATCAAATTAATCAAATACAATTTACAAAAATCAATTAAATTAAAGGAAATTCAAAACGATTAACAATGATCTATTTAATGAAATGTAATAAAATAGTTTCAAACTTACCAGGGCGAGAATGCTCATGTTTCTGTAATACTGAATTTCTTTTCACCAAACTATAGATTAAAAAAATTATAGCAGCAAAATAACCCCACAACATTTAGGCCGCCAATGATGACACCCAGAGTAGAACGACTACAGCACTTCATATTTTGATGTTATTCCTTTTTCAAACCAATTTTTTAAATTAATATACCGATTAGAAAAAATACTTAACCATAATACTGAGGCGTGAACGTCAACTAATCATGTAAGTTAAACTTTCTTAAGATTTATTTAAATATGAATATTGATTTATAAGTATTTTGTAAACATTAAAAGAAACTATTAAATTATTTATATCGCTGAGTCAAATTCGGTGAAGAATCTAAAATTAAAATTGCCTTTAAATTGTGTGTAACACGAATTCTTGGTAATGATTTATACTTAGTTCTAGATAGATAGATAGATAGATAGATAGATAGATAGTTAGTTAGTTAGTTAGTAGTAGTTAGTTAGTAGTAGTTAGTTAGTTAGTTAGTAGTTAGTTAGTTAGTTAGTTAGTTAGTTAGTTAGTAGTAGTTAGTAGTTAGTTAGTTAGTAGTAGTTAGTTAGGTTGTTAGTTAGTTAGTTAGTAGTTAGTTAGTTAGTTAGTTAGTTAGTAGTTAGTTAGTTAGTTAGTTAGTAGTTAGTAGTTAGTTAGTAGTTAGTTAGTTAGTAGTTAGTAGTTAGTTAGTTAGTTAGTTAGTTAGTTAGTTAGTTAGTTAGTTAGTAGTTAGTTTAGTAGTTAGTAGTTAGTTAGTTAGTTAGTTAGTTAGTTAGTTAGTTAGTTAGTAGTAGTTAGTAGTTAGTTAGTTAGTTAGTTAGTTAGTAGTTGTTAGTTAGTTAGTTAGTTAGTTAGTTAGTTAGTTAGTAGGTAGTTAGTTAGTATTAGTTAGTTAGTTAGTTAGTTAGTTAGTTAGTTAGTTAGTTAGTTAGTTAGTAGTTAGTTAGTTAGTAGTTGTTAGTTAGTTAGTTAGTTACTTAGTTAGTTACTTAGTTAGTTAGTTAGTTAGTTAGTTAGTTAGTTAGTTAGTTTAGTTAGTAGTTAGTAGTTAGTAGTTAGTTAGTTAGTTAGTAGTTAGTTAGTTAGTTAGTTAGTTAGTTAGTTAGTTAGTTAGTAGTAGTTAGTTAGTTAGTTAGTTAGTTAGTAGTTAGTTAGTAGTTAGTTAGTTAGTTAGTTAGTAGTTAGTTAGTTAGTTAGTTAGTTAGTTAGTTAGTTAGTTAGTTAGTTAGTTAGTAGTTAGTAGTTAGTTAGTTAGTTAGTTAGTTAGTTAGTTAGTTAGTTAGTTAGTTAGTTAGTAGTTAGTTAGTTAGTTAGTTAGTTAGTAGTTAGTTAGTTAGTTAGTTAGTTAGTTAGTTAGTTAGTAGTTAGTTAGTAGTAGTTAGTTAGTAGTTAGTTAGTTAGTTAGTTAGTTAGTTAGTTAGTTTAGTTAGTTAGTAGTTAGTTAGTAGTTAGTTAGTTAGTTAGTTAGTTAGTTAGTTAGTTAGTTAGTTAGTTAGTTAGTTAGTTAGTTAGTAGTAGTTAGTAGTTAGTTAGTTAGTTAGTTAGGTAGTTAGTTAGTTAGTAGTTAGTTAGTTAGTAGTTAGTTAGTAGTTAGTTAGTTAGTTAGTTAGTTAGTTAGTAGTTAGTTAGTTAGTAGTAGTTGTTAGTTAGTAGTAGTTAGTTAGTTAGTAGTTAGTAGTTAGTTAGTAGTTAGTTAGTTAGTTAGTAGTTAGTTAGTTAGTTAGTTAGTTAGTTAGTTAGTTAGTTAGTTAGTTAGTTAGTTAGTTAGTAGTAGTAGTTAGTTAGTTAGTTAGTTAGTAGTTAGTAGTTAGTTAGTTAGTTAGTAGTTAGTTAGTTAGTTAGTTAGTTAGTAGTAGTTAGTTAGTTAGTTAGTTAGTAGTAGTTAGTAGTAGTTAGTTAGTTAGTAGTTAGTAGTTAGTTAGTTAGTAGTTAGTTAGTTAGTTAGTAGTTAGTTAGTTAGTTAGTTATTTATTTAAAAGTTTTATTTGTTATTTATTTAAAAGATCTCGTATAGACTAGGCTCCTAACGAATTCTTCTAGTAAAATTCAATTATTTTATTTAAATACTTTGTGTTTAAATGCCTGTCATCTATAAATTTTTATAGTTTTTATTATATAAGTAAATGCTGACTATGTACGATGTCTGCTTATTAAAAGGCGCTAAATTATTTTTAAACATACACATGAATATTACTCTTATTCCGGAGAATAAATATTGAGAGAATATAAACAAATTTAACCTTGAATTTTTAGCAAATATAAACACGTGAGGTTATTTAACTGTATGAAAACGATAACGTTAGTTTAGTGTTGAAATGTGCTAAGTCCAATTAATAAGAATATTTTGAATTAAGAACAACAGAAAAAACGAAATATCGATAAAAAAACTGTATTTCGGTATAAAATTCGTAAAAAAAATGAAATAACTTATAATAATTAACTTTGATAATAGCCGGATGATATTTGATATTGAACAGGATTAGCGTCCATTACCTGACCGGGCTTTTCAATATTCTCCCTGCGCATATCTCTATATAGGGTATAGATAGGCCATAATATTAAAGCAGATATACCTATCAAGTAATTAAAATCGAAGAAAAAAAATCCAATTGAATTTATAGTAATATTTAAATATTTAACATAAAATTACCAATTCCCAATACGCCCGCAATAAGTATGATTAAAATCGCTGTAAAGTGAGCTCCAACAATTATACTCGCAATGAAATAGTAAGCGAAACGTATGCAGTTGACAACGAAACCAATACCACTAAGTATCAACCAGGGCAGCATCATTCGGTGACGTCTCTAGATATTAATTAATTAAAATATTATTAAAGCATTGAACACAATATATTTCCAATTTTAGACTAACCTTTACAATACCCGTAATCAGGAGAGCAGATATAATGATCATTATTAGG